GTAAACACTGTCAACTTTTGCAAAAATTCTCCCACTCATAGAACAAAATTTATTAAATCACAGTTGTGCAGCCTTCTGGATCCTCATATCTACCAAGTAACAAACTTTCCTCAGGCTCACTCCATTATGCAGTGGATCTACCAGTCAGAGATAGAACAAGAGCAAATCAACATCTCCCAATTTTCTGAATTAATTAAAACCTTAAAAGAAATCCAAAAAAATCTTATGGAAGTGAGTGTCAAATCTGAGTCCCCAGAAACAGTAGAAGAAGCTCAAAGAAAGGCCACATATGAAGTCAGTATAGCTCTCAGCTGCTTTTTAAATTACCTCCAAGAAAAAGAACAGTCAGAAACACAGCTCTTACTAATGTCCATTGCAACTGGTGCAGGATATCAAGTGGTGAACAACACTTTTCAGTATCTCCTAGGGTGTGATGAGTTAAATTTTCTACTGGATGAAATGGAAACAGCCTACAATAAATACCAGGAGCTGAAAAGTATTTGCAGCTACCGGGCTCAGGCATTTCTTCTGCTCACAGGTCTGACGGCCACAGTTGGAGTCACAGCTATTTCTCCAAAAGACAAAATACAACGCATGGCACTAATGAGACATCACATGGAACAGTCATTGTCTGAAGAAGTTGCAAATGTCCTCACCAAACTTGGAGCAGATCATGATTGGGAAAATCTAGAGAAAGACTTGAGATTACTTATTGATGGGAATTACAAAGCCACTGTATCTTCTTTGAAAATGGATGAGGTTAAAAAACAATTGCAAAGTCTTTTCCATGAAAAGAAACAATCCAAGGAATCATATAATAATGAAAATGACAAACGGGAAGTGATAGAAAATGGTGCCTTTTTAGATTTACTCCAGCGTCTAGGCCTAGAACATTACTACCCAAAAAGGATGACCAGAGATAACTTTCACCTAATCTACAAGACTTCTGTACACAACACACAGCCAAGTTCTGAACAGGAACTTCCCTTCTATTTCCTACAAAAGTTGCTGATGCTGGATTATGGACTGAGACACTTGGTCTTCAAAGATGACAAAAATACGAGACACCAGGTATATCCGAGTGCTTCCAATGAGGAAAATGAGGCATTTGATCCATATGAAGATTTTTTTAAAGATAATGATAGTCTCACTAACCCTTCAGCTACTGATCTCAGACCCCAAATTCACCCAATGGATATTCAAATGGCAATTTTTCACTGTGCAGATGATTTCGCCAGACAATATATTTTGGGCAAACTTTCCATTTGTCAATTTGCCATTCCCCTTGTGGTGCCTAACCCCTGCACTTCTCAAATTGAGTTCTCTCTTTGGTCTCTAAGTCAAATTAGAAGAAGCTGGCAGCAAGCAAGGAAATTACCAAAAGGTAAAAAGAGCAGTTTCAAAAATCAACAGATGTGCCATGTCTCTACCTCCATTGTATCCTTCATTAGAGTTGGCAATGACCTCTCTGCATCCAAATCTCAGATCATGAACTGTCTTCTCAGTAAGCGTAAACATGATGTGTTTTTTCACCGACACTGCAAAGGAAGCAGCAAAGACTGTCTCCTGATGGAGGGTGTGGTGGAAATCTGCTGGTACTGTCCAGCAGGGGAAGATGAAGACAGATTTGACAACTGTGTGACCTTCACTAATCTTCATGGAGATGCAAAGGAACACAAGCAGCAGCTCAATTTTCTGCAAGAAGTCTCTTCCATCATTGTAGTCCTCATGTCAGCATCTGATGACAATGAAGAAAACCAGAAGATTGTCCGTGAGTTGTGCCAGTCATCAAGACCTTTGATCTTCTTGCTTGATGACAAACAAAAAACAATAGCCAATAATTCTGGCAGAAGAGTGAGAATTGGTATCAGGAATAGAAATGAGGCAGAATTAACAGAAGAGCTCACTGCTACAATCACACATTTGCTAGAGCTCTCTGGCCTTACTCTCAGCTTAGAAGACTGTTCTCAGATTGCTCACAAGCAAGGATTCTTTATTGATGAAGACCACAAAGAGTGCAAGGAAGCCAAAGAAAAGGCAGAGATTATAATGGCCCTTTTGGGAGAAACTAATTTATCTCACATGAAAGAAAATTTACTACCTCTGCAGGGACAACTATGGCATCTTTGGTGTAAGAAGGACAAAGAATTCTATCATTTGAGAGAAAAGGGGAACAGGAGCATTGAGCAACACAAGAGTGAAATTGAGACAGATAAAAGAATAATTAGGTGCCAACAGTTGGAAAAAGCATTTCCTCTCAATGATTTAATGCACTCTGTCCTTCAAATTTTGCAAGAACAGTCAGAAACTCATAGCAAACTCTACTTCTTTCAGTGGCTGAGTGTGTTTTTGAACAACCTGACTGCAGGACACTTGGAAAAATTACGTGACAAGCAAAGATATTTATGGTCAAAGATACAAACAGAAAAGCAAAAGGCACAAAACAACAACTACCTGAAGCTCTGGCAAAATGAGATAGAAGCCATCTCCACAGAGATCAGTGACTGTACCTTGGGAATTGAGCAACTTCTCAGAGAAATTGGCCAGATCTACGAAGCTCTAGAAGAAACTTCTTCCACAAAAGATATTCTTTTTCTCTCCCTTCCCCAAATTGCTGCAGATCTGATGATCTCTGGCATGCCCATTGAGCTGATGGATGGGGATGCTTCCTACGTGCCTCTGAAGTGGGTGGCAGCTATTTTTGATGAGGTCTCTAAGAAAATTGGAGACAAACGACTATTTGTTCTTTCTATCCTTGGCCTGCAGAGTTCAGGGAAGTCCACCCTGTTGAATGCCCTTTTTGGGCTGCAGTTCAGTGTCAGTGCAGGCAGGTGTACCAGAGGTGCCTACATGCAGCTCCTAAAGGTAGAGGAGACCTTCACAGAAGAACTTGGATTTGACTATATGCTAGTTGTAGACACAGAAGGACTTCGGGCCCCAGAACTCAACAACAAATCCCAGAACTGGGACAATGAGTTAGCAACCTTTGTCATTGGACTCGGAAACTTGACTCTCATCAATATTTTTGGAGAGAATCCATCAGAGATGCAGGATATCTTACAAATAGCTGTTCAAGCCTTTCTGAGGATGAAACAAGTAAAAATTTTCCCAAGTTGCCTCTTTGTTCATCAGAATGTAGGAGAAGTTACAGCTAATGATCAAACTATGGAAGGACGACGGTGTTTAGAACAGAGACTAGATGAAATGGCAGTAACTGCTGCTGAACAAGAAGAATGTTCAGACATAACCCACTTCAGTGACGTCATTAAATTTGATGTCAATACTCATGTCCACTACTTTGCACACCTATGGGATGGCAATCCCCCAATGGCTCCTCCTAATCCTCGTTATAGCCACAATGTCCAAGAACTGAAAGGTAGAATTCTCTTGACTGCCAAACAAGAATCCAGAGGAAGCATCATGAAAATTTCAGATGTAAAATTCCGAGTTCAGGATTTGTGGAGAGCCCTGGTCAATGAAAACTTCATTTTCAGTTTCAGAAACACTCGTGAGGTCATGGTCATGAGCAAACTGGAAACCATGTATAACCACTGGACCTGGGAACTAAGGAGTCATATGCTGGAGTTGCAGAATCAGCTGAACAATCAGATTCAGAATGGAAAAATTCAGATACTCAAAACTAGCATGTGTGAGATTCCAATTACAGAAAAATATAAAGCCATCAAATGTGAACTTGAAAAATATTTCAATGATGATACAGATAGTGAAATATTGGTTCAATGGAAAGCAAATTTTGAAAATAAGTTAATAATCCTTAAAGAGGCTCTCATTGCAGACAGTAAACAAAAAGCCAATGAATTCATTCGTTTAAAAAGAAATCAAGAAAGATTAGATAAAAAAAAGACATGCTATGAGAGTGAATTATTAGAAAGAAGCCGAAAGTTGGCTTTAACTGTAAAAGGTAAAGAACTGAATGAAGAAGAGTTACATGAGAAATTTAATCAGCTTTGGAAAAAATGGATCTATGATGTGTCCTCTGATCTTCCTCAAGTTACAGAGCCTGACATTGATGTGGATTCTGAAAACATTCTTTGGGAATATTTCCAAAAGGAGATAAACTTGGTGGACTTACTAAAGAGAAATTCGGGGGAGAAGTTTCAAATCAATTATGAAGAGCATATCAAAATGAATAAGAAGTATAATTTCATGACAAGAACCTTAAAGGCTCATGATAGAGAATCCATTAATATGACAACTCACCTCATTATTTCAAGATTTAATGAAACTATGAACAACATTCGTAGGCAGCAGTGTGATTATAATCCAAGTTACTTCCATGAAATCCTGAGAACAATAGATGAGGAAGTAAAATCTGCACCCACTGAGGAAAGATACACATTTACAAGCAAATACAATATTGAATTATCTTTGTGTTTATTCCAAAAAGCATCAAAGAGTTTTAAGGAAATGCACAGGGCATTTAAGAGAGCAAATGATCCTGTAAACTATCTGGAAAGCAAAAAAGATGATTTCTTCATGAGTTTTAAGATCTCCTGTCAAGGAGCAACCTCAGTCAAAACATTTGTTGATTTTTTGTGGCACAAACTCACCCCTGCTATCTCTGCCACCATATGGAGAAAAATGATCATTCAAATTGCTGGAGACATGCAAGCTACCTGCCCTGAATTCAATGGAAACAGGGCTAACCTGGAGAAATACATTCTCATCATTTTGGCAGAAGAAGAAAACTTTGATAATTACTGGCAATACCTTCACCACACAAAATCTTTTTTTGGTAACTTCATTAAAAACCATATTAGAAGATACTGTACAGAAAAATGTGAAAAAATAAAGACTTTCTTAAAACTAAGTTTAGATGACATTAAGAATGCCATCCTCTCTGCTCTTCGTGAATCCACAGCAGTAGCTAAAGATAAAAGCAGCACTGCATCTGGATGGCTGGATTTCTTCTGTGATTACCTGGGGAACAACTTGATCTTTCCACGAAGAGATCTGATAAGCATTGAACACCAGGAGATAAAAGATATAGAGTTCCTCAAAGAAGCCATGAGTGCAGCTTTGGATCCTGCAATAAAGAAAGTTGAGCAGAATTGTTCAAGTATGCCTACTGATGAAATGGTTTCTGAAATTGAGAAAATCCTCTCTGAACATCTTTGTGGCTGCTGGAAACAGTGTCCTTTATGTAATGCAATTTGTACCAACACTATTCCTACACACGAAGGAGACCACAGTGTTCCATTCCACCGTCCTCAGGCCATCAGTGGGTGGCATAAGCACAAAACAGACCACTTTGTTATTGACTGCTGTACCAGTTCAGTGGCAAGTGATCGTTTCATGATTTTTGGAAATGATCAGAAAATCCCCTATAAAAACTACCGGCAGGCAGGAGGGGATTATGCCACATGGAGCATCACCCCAGATTCATCGACCCAGCCATACTGGAAATGGTTTATTTCACACTTCAGAACAAAGCTTGAAGAAAAATATCAGAAAAAATTTATAGATACAGGTAGAATCCCTGATGCCTGGGCGAAAATCACAAAGCAGGATGTGCTTGATGACCTAAAAAAATAGTAGTATTCAATGATCATAAAAGAGTTCCAGTATCTGAGGCAAGGGGTAAAGTTACAGTACCAATATAATTTCAAAACATTTCTTCCTTACAATGAAAACCTTCAATATTTCCAATGTCATACATGTAAATGTAAAAATTTAAATATTTCCTATGAAATGACTTTAGTTCTCTCTGCCTCAGTTCCTACTGCTTTAAACATAAGAAAGTACTGAAACTTATATCATAAAATCAGCTTGTAACACCTACTTTATATTTTATTTTGCTTGGCATATTTTCTAAATATATGACTCAATCATCCTAACAAAGAAAAATTTAAATCATTACAGGCCTATACAAATCTCTGTAGAATATCTGTATGGAAATGTTAGTCTATATACAGATCTTGGTTGAAAGCTACAAATTAACTTTTGGGGTGGATTTTTCACACTTTGAAATTATGAAAAAAAACATAATTTTTAATTAATCCTAAATGTAACAACATTCAAGGAAATTTAATGAGGCCCAGCCTAGCAATATTTCAGCATATTCTATTCTAGGAAAAAATAAACCAGAGATTTGACCAGGATTGGTTATATATTAGGTACTTTATCTGCTTTTCTGTTGATAGGACAGAACACCTGATGTCCACAATTTAAAGGAGGAGTTTACAATTTAAAGTTTATTTGGTTCATAGATTCTTGTGTGTATAAGTCCATGGCTTGGTAGTTTCTCCAAGGTAGAAACAGCATGGTAGAACAACCTAGCAAAGGACAGCTGCTAACCTTTGGCAGCCAGGAAACAGTAAGAGAAGGGAGGAGGCAGGGATAGAGGATATATCCCTTTAGGTTATGTTCTACAGTAAGTCAACTTTCACCAGGATTCACCTCCTAACAGTACATTCACCTAGTGAACTCATCAATTGATGAATCCTCTGCTGAGCATAACAGCACCAAGATTCAATCACTTTTCAAACATGTTTATCCATGGGGGACATTTTAGGTCTGAAGCATTATAAGCTATCACCAACTTAGGAAAGATTATCAAGAAAATATGGGAAGTAGAAATCAAATACTATAACTTTTTCTCATTTAAGTATCACTTTTTTCTTCCCTGATTGCTTGATAGTTCCATACTCAAGCTACAAAAAAAGAAAGATCCTCAAAGCTCAGATGTTTGAAACCTACTGTTATATACAAATCTGTGAAGGATAGGCTGCTGGAACAAAATGTTTAACCTGGTATAACAAACCATTTTAATTATTTTAATCAAGTAAACATTACATTTGATTATATTTGATTACATTAATGATTACAGAATTATTTCTTAAATAAAAATTATCAAAAAGTATATAGGTTTTTTACAAAATTATAATTGAATTTAAGTGATATGGCATTTCAACAGACATTCTTTTTTGTATCTAAAAATACAAGATGCTAGGGTGGTGGTGCATGCCTGTCATCCCAGCACTCAGGATTCTGAGGCAAGAGAATCACTAAGTTCAAGCCCAGCCTAAACTATGTGGTGAGACCTTGTCTCAAAAAAAGAAAAAAGAAAAAAAAAAAAGGGAGAAAATGTTTATCTCCAAGTCAGACACATTTGTGGCTCTCTAATCATTTGAGGTATAAAGTAGTGAATACAATAAAAAGCAGAAAATTTCTTCATATTATACATTAAAGGCATCCGTTGTTTTCCATTTACAGATACAGTCTCTACACTCAACACACACACACACACACACACACACAGTGTCAGAAAAAAATAGCCTAAGAAACAAAAGCAAAACAACTTGCATCTTCAGAGATGGGAGACAGGAGATATTTTCAGTTTCAGGTCAACTAACTTATCCCCAGAAGTCTCAGACAGAAAAAGTGTACAAGATATACGGGCTTCTTAACAGTATTATTTTCCCTTTGCTCTCTGAAAAATTAGTCTTGGTAAGAACTGACGAATCCGGTAAGATTGAATTGTTCATGGAAACAGAACCTATACACAGAATAGTACCTGTCTCTCACATTACTGCATTCTTGAAAATAGCTAAAGTTTCAATTAGTAGTTGCTGAATCTTTTTTATTGTTACTTAATGAGTTCATATAACCATTTAAGTATCATTTATCATGTTACTTTTGACTCTCAAGCTAAAATTATTTTGTGTGAATAGAAAAAGGTCTTTGATAAATTCCTCAGGTATTTAAGCTGTATGATTATCAAATGACAATATAAAGGCCATTCTCAAAAGATCACAAAAAATTGGAAAGGGGTAAGTTGGGATAGAAAGATGACTCTGTCATAGTGGAGGATATTCTGTGATACTATTAGAAAAATAATACTGCCATCAAGGCAAAATGAGATTTGAAAGGATTGTAGGATCAGTGAATTTGGCATCCCTGAAGAAGGAAACCTCACAAAGAATAAAAGTAGAACAAATGGAGTCAGGAGGAATGAGATCAAGATGAGGAGATACTGCATGCAGGTTCAGGCCACAAAATTAGGGCCAGAGGTTAGTTGGAATTGTATTCCCATGGTTTCTCAGTCACTGAGGTATGAAACAGAAGAAGAATAACTGAAATCACCACATCAGAGTTCAGGGAGATTCCAGTCAGTTAAGATAGAAATCCAAAATAAAATAGGAAAGGAGCCACAGGTGTGTAGGGATGGAGCTAAGATGGTGATGGATTCTAGGACATCACATTTCGTGATTAAGATGTGAGTTACTGACTTATATGTAGACTTTAAAGATTAAAGCTACAGAAGTAGAAAATAAAATGGTGATTACTACAAGCTGAGGGGAGATGGGGAAAAATGGAAATGTTGGTTAAAGGGTATAAAGTTGCAGTTAAACAAGAGATATAAATTCTGGTGATCTGTTTCACATCAAGTTGACAATAGTTAATAATGTGTATTTCAAAACTGCTTAAAATATGTGATTTAAATATTCTTGCCACAAAAATAGTAAGATGGGAAGTAGGATTTATTAACTTGATTTGTTCATTCCCCAATGCATACATATATGAAAGAATCACTTGGTGTTTCATAAATATATACAATTATCTATAATGAAAACAAAATCTTAAAAATAAAGATATGGATTAAATAAAAATGAAAAACTACACTGAAATATTTTGAAGGAAGTTTTTGTTCTTCTAAACACAACTGAATACAGGAAAGTGTGGGGAATGAGGTGTATCTACAAATTAACCCCTTTAAATTTTGGGATGCATTTTACTTGGACTATGGAGAAACACATGTGAAATGTACAATTTTATTTTCCTCTTTCCTCAGAATTTTACTTCTTTGTATTCTAACCCTTCAATAAAGTCTGAAAACAATTCAACACTTTAGTGCTTTGGTGCATAAGTGGACAGGGCAGTGGAAGAAGATATATTATTGCTGATACTTACACAATAATACTAATACTGCTACCTTTGTAGGAATAGTGCCTGTGAGAGTTTGAACATATAATTTCTATGTGCTCACATATCCAAACAATAAAATGGTAAATTTTTCATGTTTTGGGTGGGAATAAATTAATTACCATACATAAGGTCCATAGGACAATAAGCACTAAATTACTATGCTATACTGTCTCTCCCAAGTTCCTCAGTTATTTTGAAAGATTTTATTCTAATACATTGAGAGGTTGAAACAATAGCATCTGAGTTTCACAGGCAAGAATAACGAACAGATACTCCTGGAGAGATCACATTTGAGAATATAGTTTGTAATAAATGTGATTGCATTTTAATAGCTTGATTGCATTTTAGAATACAGAAGTTTTTTGGTACTTTCTTGGTAGTTACAGCTAGACCAGACACTGATCAATTGATGACTTGGCAAAGTGGCTGCCACAGTTCTTTATTGGTGTTGAAGATAGTACGTCTTAGGTTCCTCAGAAGCGGGTCTAAGACATATGTACATTTTCATGTGAGTGATTTATTGGAGAAGCTATTCTATTAAAGAAAATAAATGAAGGCGAGGGGAAGCAAAATGAGGACAGGATTCAAGATGAACTAAATTAGTACATCTAAGACTGGGGATATAGCTCAGTGGCACAATACCTGCCTGACAAGCATGAGGTCCTAAGTTCAATTCCTAGTACAATCAATCAATAAATTAGTAAATCTAATCCAAGTGCTGACAGTTAGAGAATGCTACCTCTTAGTCACAGTTAAAAGCCAAAACTCAAAAGTTAGACTCCTTAGCTGTATCTGAGACCACAACCATTTGCCAACTATGTGACCCCAGATGAATTAAATTCTTATTCTTTTTCTTAATCTGTGAAATGTTGCCATCTAATTCAGGTATGAAGATGACTTCACACAGTATGTGCGTGTAGCACATGAAATGTGTTGAGTTAGTAATAGTGTAGGCAGGAGCAACATAAGTTGTGTCAATAAAGTAATTATAATAGTTACTAACACCACCACTATTGCTATTATACTTAAATATAGTTATGTCTACACTTCATGTTCAATTATAAGTTCATATAAAAGTAGCTCCAAATTCTGCATTTGACAAAATAGTGGTTACAAGTGGATTTACTTATGTTTTCTATCTATATCTTATTTTTTCTAAAAAGAACTTTAAAAATAAAATTTAAATTGTAAACCTCAAAAACAAGAGTGAAGAATAGAATGCAGACAGAAAAAGCATTGTTTCATCTTTTTTTACAACAGCTATCTAATAGCTCCCCAGTGTCATTACTACTTTTAGTGCAATCCAAGTGACTTGTGTTTACTCCAAATTGGAAGATATGTGAAGCAGGGCATGACCACCTGGAAAACTCCATGTGTGAAGCACAGCATGACCTCCATAACAGTTTAACTGTCTTTGGTTCTTACTCTTAGAATTGTAAAAGCAATTGTTTTTATATTAGTTTACACCATGATTCCCATCACTGCCTCTGGGGAAGAACAGATCCTCCTTCAAGGAAGGACATGCTGCTCAAGTGAGAAGTGTGAAGTAAGCAGCTTCTCTTCAGCTGTGGCATCTTTGAAATCTGGCTCAGTGGTTGAAAACCTCC